CAGAGCTACCGGGATTTAAAAATAGTTACGCAAAACAGAGCGTGCTGCTCAGACCGGTTTTAAAGGATAAACAAACCAGCATACTGGTTTGTTTATCCAGAGAAAAGCTGCTTCCACCTCCACAACAACAAACCGTCTCAGCTGTAATGGGAAGTTCGTCTGAATTGTTGTTTCCACAAAGACAGTGAAATTTCTGTTATTAGATTACTCGCTCCGTCTGAGCAGCTAGTTTCCTTTAGTCGATGAAATGAACTGGAAGCTTCTGCTGTGCATGTTTTTTATGCTAATATCCCTGCTAAGTAAATCTGGCAGATAGTGTGCTGTCTGTGTATTACAATGGGTGCTCAGATCTTCGGTACATAAAATCACACTCTATGAACTGAACGTACGGGTTTGATGATCCATTTTTGTTTGGCGCCCCCTTCCTCCCAGGCTTTGCGGAGCAGCTTGATGTCTTGAGGAAGAACAAAGGTCTGGGGGAAAAAACTGAACTCTTGTTTGCCGAAGCGGACTTGCATCTTGGATAGGTTCCTCCACAGCCGGTCCTTTCTCCCAATCTGAAATGTTCCTGGAAAATGGTTCAGCTGGGACACACAAACACACAAAAGTACAGTCAAAATCTGGACTTTCTCAGCGTGCTATCAAGAGTAGTCCATGTGCAGGTGCTGACCTTCTGGTGTTCTCCAAGAGCTTTGAAGCCAGGAGACTTCATGTGGTGTCCCCAGCAGCCCAGCCAGTCATGGCTTTCTATGTGAAAACACGTGTTTATCAGCCAGGGTCAGGAGTTACCTTTTTATCTTAGCCTTTAAATATTAGACTGAAATTCTTCACCATCTAATGTTTTTGTTGCACCCACAGATATACACTAACCTCAACAATCACATGACCCCTATGAGCAAGCGCTCGGGCGACAGTGGGGAGGAAAAACTCCTTTTTAACTCTACACAAATCATCTTGTCACAGCTAATCCCAGAGCTTTTCAAAGAACCAATTTCAGCAATATCTGTGTGTGACATGTAACGACATGTAACAACTTACTCTTTGTGACTCTGAAGTGTGATCTGCCGATGGTTTGCTTGACAATATTAGGAGTTACGGTGCTCATCTTCCATTTTAACAGTCGCCTTTGCTCTGCAGGAAGCAGTTCCACTGCAAAGAACACACCGATTCATTCTTTTAACAGGTAACACATGCTGTAAAATACAGTATCCAGAGTTGTATACAGTGAAGAAGTGAAAACATTAACATAATAATCAACATGTGTTGGGGTAGCGTTCAGGCAGCTGCTCTGTGTTGGTACAGAGCATTGAAGATGATAACAGTGGGTGGATTATATTCTTAAACTTCACAGCGCTTTCAGAAAGACGTCTACTGTGATAAAGTCCACTCCCCACTGCTGTGTAATCAAGTATTGTAAATGTTATCAGGAAATGATCAGGAGAGGGTTTTCACAGAGGCAGGAGAGTGTGCTCTGTTTGTTCTGACAGAAACAGGAAGTGCTACTCTACAGAGAGAGAGCTAAAACTTCACAGCGCTTTCAGAAAGACGTCTACTGTGATAAAGTCCACTCCCCACTGCTGTGTAATCAATTATTGTAAATGTTATCAGGAAATGATCAGGAGAGGGTTTTCACAAAGGCAGGAGAGTGTGCTCTGTTTGTTCTGACAGGAACAGGAAGTGCTACTCTACTGCAGAGAGAGCTCAAACTAAGTGAGAGCGCCCCCCAGAGGATTTTTCTCTGCCTGGGTTATCCTCATTATCTGAGGGTGGGCTCTACAGATGTATGCTGGAGTTTTCTGGGCACGTACAATGGTCTACATACTGTGATAGACCGGAAATCTACAGATCACTGAATATTACTCTTGTAACAATGCACCACGTTTGATTGACGAGTAAACCTCTGTCATGGGTTTTATCTTACCCAGCAGCATTAACGTAGGCTCTGAAGTAGCCACGATTACTTGACTAGTCACGATCGTCACGACTAATTTAACAGTCGACGCGTCGTTTGAAGCTTTGTAAGATCCTGAAAGACGCAGTAGGATTTAAGAGTGTAATAAGGGACTGAAACACAAGGTGGCAGCACTGCATCTAAGGAGGATGCCAGCTGCCGTTGAACGCCTTCTGTCCAAATCAGGGGCCGCATCCTCCTGAGGCCGCATTTGAAGGCCGATTACGGTGACGCGACGAAGCCTGTCCAAATTCGGCTGTCAAGTTTCCAACAATGGCAGCAGCTGCTTAGTTTTAACATTGCTCTTATTAATCTTTCTGGGTCACAAAATAAACGTTTAAGATATTTTCAGGTGAGACTGTAGCTGTGTAAACTTCAAATATCTGCTCGGTTCATCAAGTAATCACATTTTTCCAAAAGTGCTCCGACGTTTTCAGAGATGTCTGTTACCCACCAGCTCGATAGCCGACAGGGAGGTCAAGGGTCACTAGAGCCGGCGAGAACAGCGAACTCCTGGAATATCTTTTTCAAACCCCCGTGGTCTTTGGCTACTCAGGTTAACCATGATATACAAGTCACTCAGATAACGTAAACATTTGATTGTTTGGCTTTTTCCAGTGTTTTATTTGTTCCTGAGTAAATCGGTTTGGCTGAGATTAAAGTTTTTACACAGCTGAATAAACGTCAAGCAGAAAAGTGATTAAACAGAAGTGTGAGACGGCCGAGTTTATTAAACTCCACCAAGACAATCTGCAAATCTGCAAACTATCATCTTGTCTTTATTTTTAGTTAGCACATACGTTAAACACTTAAAGCTGTAAGCTAATGATAGTTATATAAGAGCAGATGCTGCTGGTGCAAGAAGCTGTAGTTTTACGTCCAATGGATGATGATCTGATTAGTCGACTATCAAAATAACCGTTTGTAGCAGCCCTACTGCTGGTATCATGCACTTGTCTGGAGTGCTCTGTTACAACCACACCATAAAGACTTGTGGTATCGGTCACACTAACCAGCAACCTACAAGTATTAGAGAAACTAATGCAGATCTTTCAAAGTTTCTTTCTTAGCAACACTGGTTGGTTTCTGGTGGTGTTGCATGGCTGTAGATATGAATGAGCATGGTTGGTCCTCCAGCACACAGCCAGCTATGCAGACCGATCTCCACGTGTTGTAGCAGGTTACGGTCACCAGGCGACAGAGTCACTAACATGTCTGTGGGCTTCTCCTGCTCGTGCTGATGTTGGTCCTTCAAACACGCGTTATGACAAACAAAGCGCTGAACAGTGCAGCCACTCTTTCCTTCTCATCCTGTTTTCTAAGCTCCTTTTCTGTTCCAGGCCTGAATTCACCCATCAGCATCTCTATGCACAGTGCCATGCAAAGCTATGTGCTGCTGGTTTTTATGAGAACTGCATGCAAGTACGACTGTGTAGGTGTCCCTCACTCTGTGCTGCAAAATAATTATGCAAATGGACACAAACCTAGTAACACAACTAACGCATCATACAGGTGACAGCTGCTCAAACCACTGATGTGGTTAGCATCTGCTGAGGGGTCAGGTGTGTATTCTGTACAGGTGTGTGGATGTTAACATGACAGAAAAGCTCTCACTGCTAACATGACTTCAGAGGCTGATCTGATGTTGTGTGTATACCATGTTAAACACAGCATAAAGTGCAAAAATTTGGTTATTGAAACAAATGTGATTAAGGTCTTCAAAAAGGTCTTAAAAAACAAAAAGCTAGTTTTGTTTAATTAGCTAACAAGTCACAAATTAGACCGATTCAGTGCAAATTCAGTCGTAAATTAACCAGAAGTGCAATCTTCCAGCTAAGAGCAAACATTTTTTAGACAAACGAGCATTGTAAATATCTGCAGCGCAGTAACTGTGGAGTCTAAAAATACTTCTTAAACATATCTAGATGATGTAGCTATTTTCCACGCTGCTTTAGCCCCGGGCAGTGACCGAGGCTGTGGAAACGTTTGGTGAGCCCAAAGGAAACAAGCCATAAACGAGATAATGTGGACGTGTTGTAAAGATATAAATCAAGAAGTTACAGGGTGTTGCAGAGATATATAAATAACTGAAGATCAACTTATTATATTACAGTTACAACTCTGACCTTTCTCATTGGCGGTGCTGAAATAGAGGGTCGGAGGGATACGGGGAAACAGACTGGGAACTAGTGCTGGTTGCTCCTCTTGACTGTCTCCTGGTTCCAACGACATTGGCTCCTCGATGCTGACAGAAAGACAAAGTCATGAACATCATCCCTATGCCCACATCTCACGGTTAGAATTACGTTTGCCAACTTCTAACTACGAGACGCCGGCATCTGGTTCACAGTTGTAATGTCAAGTCTCCTCTGCTCATAGAGAGCAAGCAAATACACCATCTCATAGGACAGTATTTCAAAGGCGGTTCAAAATAGGGCTGTGAATATGACCAAAATCTCATATCATGATATAAGACATCTATCGTCCCGATAACGATATAAATCACAAAAATATAACATTAAAATTCTGTGACTCTCGGGCAGCTCGACTTGCGTGAAGTGTTTCCAGCTGTGCGTCATGTACCTGGAGTCGAGTGTTTTAACCGATGCATGAAACGATACATTTTTAGACATAAGTTGTAACGGCGCCGTTTTCTTTGTGAGTATTTATCACACGGCGTGCTGCGGGGAAAAGCCTGTTCTAACGTTTGAGTCTAAGGTTTATTTTTTAGCACCTGGCGTCTTTTTTACTTCTCATCCGTAAATAATCTGCTCTTTCACGTGATTCAGTTTATTTTGAAAAGTCTCAACAGGATCTTGAACTTTATTGTGAAAGGTTTATGTGGAAAATAAACCAGCGGACACGCGATGCTGTTACCGTCGCTGTTTCTAACGACAACGCATAAAAACAGGCGCTTGTCCGTCCGTAGTGTGGTTATATTAAATATAAGAGAAAGAGAGAACTTTAAGAAATTAATAATAACTACAGTGATCAAAACATGAAAAAATATTGCCGTAAACAGTTTATTTTGCGACACCACAAAACAAACGATAGCGTAAAATGAAACGATCAACGTTTTTATATCGTTATATCGAACAGCCCTACTTCAAAATGACAAGTTAAATGATATACAGTCAACCTGATGAGACAAACATGCCAAAACACTCACATGACAGTCATAGGAAGCAGAGATCTTCTTCCAGTGATGACAGGTAAGCTTGACGGGATTTGTGACATACAGGAGCTTTAGCTTTCGGGGAGGGCTGTTATTCTATTTAGAGTGCCAGTCTATTTAGATCAACACAAACCAATCAGCTGGACGGGTTAAAAGGAACAAATGTGACAATAGCAGTCCTGATCCAGAGTGGTTTCACAGAGAATCAGTTCCTAGTCTTTGGTAGGCAGTTCTACTGTTCACGCCATAACAGAGGATAACAATATGATGCACAATGCTGCAGACCTTTCCACCACTCTCCAGCTGTCTGCCCCTTTGAACTGAAAGAGTTCACAAGCTCTGATGGACATTTGACACTATTTTAGGAGACCAATCAGAAAGCGCCAGGCCCTGAAAGGAGCGTTCAAATCTTTAAAAGTTTCTGATGAAAATTAAAGTGGGTAAAGTGCTTTATAAATAAAGCTGGTATGGTATAGCTGAAGGTCAGAGTAAAAGCACAGGTTACTGAAGTACTGAGACTGCTGTAATTCTGGTGGTATACAGTCTCATATGTATCCCAAATAACTGCTGTGGCGGAGCGGCATGACATGGGAAGAAGGTGCCGGAGCTACAGCCACTAATGCTGCGAGTCTTAATAAATCAGTAACAGCCAGCTGCAGGAAAAAGTTGAAATACTTCGGAATTAACAGGATTTCTGCAACAACCCGTCTGGAATCTACTCTCGTCTTCTCTACTTCAGGTATTCCAGTTAGGAGAGGAGTTTGGACAATTTCTTTAGACTAGGTGGTGAAGGACGGCTTAAGCAGAAGAGAAATCATTTCTACCTGAGATTCTTCTTCAGTTTAATTTTATAAATGACAAAATTGTGTCAGCAGATGAGGAGATAAAATAATTATTGTTGATAAACTAGTATTAAATAAATTATTACTTAAAGTTTCTCAGGAAAAACTTACATTTTATTTATGTCCTTGAATCGGTTTTCCTTTATTTCTTTGCATCCCTGTCACACGTGCATGTTTCAGATCATCAAACAAGTTGTAATATTAGACAAAGATAACACAAGTAAATAAAAAGTGCTAATTGGATTTAAGAACACGCTTTGACTGCAAAACCATTATTGTGATGTGTTTATTTATTTTCTTGCTGGTGTTTGGGATCTTTATCCTCCTACGTAACTACACTGGATGCCAGTGTCACGGCTGGCTCACGAGGAGGATTACAACCCCTGCTTACTCTGATTGTCACGGTCCTGAGTCTGTGACTCAGTGTTTTTCTGTTTGTATTAGTTATCTTTGATTTCATGAGGGTTTGATTTCGGTCGCTAGTATTCCTAACTCCCTAGGTCCTTGGCATTTCTTGTGTTCTCCTTCTTAGGTCGTGGTTCTGTGTTACTTCTGTTAGTATACAGTCATTTCTGTCAGTGTGTCTCTTGTTCTGTCACTGTATCCCCTAGTTTAGTCCACGTCTGTTCAGTTTCCTGTTTTACTTTGAAAGTCTGTGTACTATGTCAGTGTGTTGAGTTTTGCCTCCCCTTGTCTTGTCATGTCTGATGAGTCCCAGCTGTGCTCTCCTCCTGTTTCACATCCCCTAATCACCTCAGTATGTATTTAAGCTTTGTGTTTTTTCCCTGCCAGTTGTTGCGTCCTCCACGTTTGTTGTGTGTGTATTCATTGTCGTCTACCTTCAGCATCTCCAGTCTAGTTAGTTTAAGTTGTTGTTTATGTATCGCCAAGGGTGACTCACCAGCAAATAAAGCTGTCGTTTAAGTTAATGTTTTGTCTCCGAGTGCTGCACGTGGATCCAGCCACTGACAGCCACACAACTCATCATGACACTGATAAATGCTGATAAATACACTAACAACAAGTGCAGAGATCAAGCACAAAGGCTAGCTAGCAAAAGTGGGCAGAATTCATGGTTTCATCAGTTACTGCAGGACCTCCAGGTCCTGAAGCAGCAGAGCAGCCCCACACCCTCACATTACCACCACTATATCTGACTGTTGGTATGATGCTGTTCTTATGAGAAGGATGTAATGAAGAATGCAAACTTGTCAGTCCACAGAATATTTTCCCAAAACTCAAGCACGTGTTCGTTTTGACACAACTGAACTGCTACGTCTACAGTGTTGTACCACGATTCACATTTTAAAGCGCGCACTGATAAAAAGGATCTGTCTGCTGAAGAATGTGTTTATGTTAGGTTTTAAATATTGCTTAAGTAAATATGCCTGTGCAGCATGTTTTTTGTTGTTTTTTTACTTTTACTTCTCTTTCAACTGACAAAGAACCATATTTGGAATTGGAAGAATATTTGTCCTATGAAGGTCACAGTAAATAAACCAGTGATGGTGTGTGTGTGGTTACTGCATGTCTTACCAGGAGGGGAGAGTGATGCACCCTCCGGATGAAGAGCCAGCGATGGATGAGCTGTCTGACTCAACAACAAATAACAATGTTCTCATCAGTACTATATTATTACATAATTACACAACATGTCATATAATATCATCAACAGAAAACTGACCAGCTGATTAACGACAGCACAAGTATGATAGAGTTTACTTAAACGTCTCACCGTCATCGCTGCAGGCAAGCTCATCAGCTAGCTCCTCTTCTTCTGCACCCACCTGTGCAGCATGCTCCGGGCTGAGCAAAACCAAGTGTAATTACTAAAGGGAAGATGTGAAGGAGGGAAACCTGAAATGTGACGTAGCTGATTCTCACCCAGGGGGAGGGAGAGTCTCCTCAAGCAGGGATTCCTGTGTCGGTGAAGGCGAGGAAAGGGATGGAAAGAAATCTGATGCGGAGGCTGGCTGTCCCTGTCTTGTGAGGTGAATGGCTGAAATCTGATTGGTCATTGAGCCCACCAAGGCTCCTGCAGGACAGGAGGAAACATCTGCATGTGAACTACAGTCTAACTACACAGTGCTGTGAATACAAAACTGGGGCTCATACCAAACCAAGAAATGTGTATTCCATTAAAAATCATTAAATTAAAAGAAAAACATACAAACAAATGAATAAATAAATAAAAAGGCCTCCTTTGTTTTAATAAGGATATTCAATTATTGAGAATGAAAATATATCTAAAGACTCATGATCCTGGGTACGGTTGACCGAGTATGTGTTTTTAACAATTTGTAACTTTTTTTTGCAACATTTTAAACAAAGAACAGTGGGTGGAAACATATTGACCCAGTGTTTCCCAAACTTGTTTTGCTAGGGGGAAAAATCCCCCCCAACATCTCCAACATGTCAGGAGTAGTTAGTCTTTATAAGAAGTGTTTGTGAACTAAAAATCAAGAATGTGGAATTCTGTTTGTCTGTGATTTGGAGAGCCCAGCGCTGCTCTTGACGCAGGGAAACCCAATCCTGCAGGCAGACCTACCTCGGCACTTGTGCAGGTGAAGCCACAGTTAAGATTTGCTTCACCACATTTTCTAGTCTTTGGCTCAGAATAAAGTTGGTTTGGAAACATATTCAGTGATGCTTCATCTCCTGCTTTGCGTTTGTGTGGGCGCTCCGTCAAAAACCTGTCCGTTATGCTAGCAGTGTCGACCCTAACCCTTTGTATTAACCAAAGACAGCCTGTGTAAACACGACCTATGCTGCTGTGTTGACTTGTATAAGGATCCCAGACACAGAGTTAAAAGTCCAACATTTTTGCTTCCCAAAGGTTGATTCTGTTCATCTGGACGTAGCATCAGTGGGAGAAACGAGTCGTCACTCATCCAGCTGACTTCTTCAGTCTCAGCTGACTGCAGGTTTCCAACCTTAGTTTAACTTTTCTGTTACCGGAGAAAAGTACGGCCCATTGCATGGCCGGCTCAGACTCCTTCCATCTTTTTTGCCCGGCCTCCAGACCTTTAGTTTATTTTACTTGCTCTTTCTGCCCGAATAAAACCATTTTAACAAACAAACTCACAACAACCTTTGATGGAAAACTGTCCTTTCCAGGAAACCTTCAGAATTGGCTTCTCGACAACCATAGCTAGCTGATTTAACTGCACTTCACTGCTGTGCTGCAATATGTGCACTGAGATCCTAACATACGGAGAAACATTATGTTCAGATTGGGTCTAGTGCAGTTAGATCATAGAGTTCATTGTGCAGAGAAGACGTGGAGAACGCTAAGCTGATTGCTGCATCAACAGGGTAACAACAGCTGGAAAAAATAAGGCTTGTCATCACTGGGGAAAAATCTCAATGCACAGAGATTTTGCAACCAATGCCAACTCCATATGTCCACAGTCTGAGGTCCAAACCATCCTCAATCTCCCACAAACCGGCGCCTGCTCATATGAGTGTTCAATGGATTAATCAGTCAATTAGCTGGAAGATGCAGCTGATCTTATCATCAATCCATTTATGAGTACAATATTCTTTGCTGTTCTATTAATAAAACAACTGCACCTTTAAATTAGCTTGTTATCTCATATTCATATCTATACCCAGACCATCTCCACGTCCTGCGTTCCATTAGTATGGGTGTAGCACAAGCAAACAAAAGGTTCTGATTACCTGCAGCAGCGTCTGGTGGAGGTGGCTTTTCTGAGTCACTGGCACATTTCAAAGGTGGCGTGGGACTGTTTGGAAAGGAACTGATACGTTTGCATGCGGGCTGGGTTCTTCCCAGCAGACTATATGGGATCTGCTTGGTTAGATCTAGTGATGCTCTTTTTTGGGACTTGGCGATTGTAGTTGCTCCCAAAACTGTGAGAGGAACACCTTTCACAAGGAGCTGACAGTCAAAAGAAATGTCAAACAAAGTTGTGCCGCTGTTGTGTGTCTGACCGTATTTTGCTGCTGGTGGGATTGAATAACTCCTCTGTGGAGGTTTCGCTTCTCCTCCTGTGCTTCTCGTCTCAGCGTTTGTGCTGTGGAGGCTGGAAGCATCCTTCTCCACAGCTGGCCCCTGATGTTGACAAAGACTAAGGCACATATCAGGCACTGGTGGCAAAGAGAAACAGTCTGCAGCCTCACACTACGGAGAAAACAAAACAAAACAATATCAGACAGACTTGCATAAACCTAAAATTATAGGTATATTTCTGAAGATGGCTAAATTACAGTTTTGCCTATAATAAACTATTTGCTTTTACTGATCCCTAATACAGCCCTACACAATGATTGGTTTAAATCGCTAGACTTGAACATGTCAAACATATTTATGGAAAAACAAACCATGATGGTTGTTGTGGCTGCACCTACAACAAGCACTGTGTGGAAAATAGAAATAAAAGTTGGCTTTCGTGAGTTCGAGCATTAAGCATCATAACAGCTTTAAAAGTCTAAAATCTGGAACATATTAGAGGTGGGAATCACCATACATCCCACGATACGATATTATTGCAATCTTTAAAAATATTTT